GTTCCTGCTGAGGTCCCAAGGGATCACTTCAGCCGTTTTCTGTTCCTGCTGGAGGGTCCGGCGGGGTCGCTCCAGCCGTCTTCTGTTCCTGCTGGGGATCCAAGGAACTGCTTCAGCCATCTGTCTTCACTGGATGGTCCATGGAACCTCTCCAGCTGTCTTCTGTTCCTGCTTGAGCGTCCGAGGAACCGCTCCAGCCATTTGTCTTTGCTGGAGGGTCAGAAGAACCGCTTCAGCCAGGTTCTGTTCCTGCTGAAGGTCCTGAGGGGTCGCTTCAGATGTTTTCTGTCTCTGCTGGAGGGTCCGAGGAGCCCATCCAGACACCATCTGCACCACTAGATCCTCCACCGTTGCCTGCAGTCCCACCACCTGCAGTTTCCACACTGTCGCCTGCAGTTCCACCACCTGCAGTTCCACCACCTGCAGTTCCACCACCTGCAGTGCCACCAACTGCTCCATCATGTGCAGCTGCCACACCTGTGCCATCTCCGTCCTTCACGTCCTGCTCGACTTCGTTCAGCTCTTCACTGTCGCCAACCACTTTCCAGACTGTTTGCCGGATATCTTCGCTGTCATGGTCGGCCTCCGGACTTGCTTCGTCTGTGCCGCCGCTGCCATCCTCGTGGTCAGCCTCCGGATTTGCTTCGCCCGCTGCCTTTTCCATGGCCGGCCGCCGGACCGGTTCAGTCACCTGTGCCATTGCCACTTTCCTTGTGGTTGGGCCCTGAACTGTTTAGCAATGGACTGTTGTGCTGTCGCCTTCCAGGTTGGTCACCTGAACTCTATGTGAACGGTGTCCGTGAGCTCCAGTATTTTCTGTGGAATCTGTTTCCTGTTCCTGTTCCTGCTCATCATGTCCTGTGTTTCTCTGGTTATCATCTCATGTTTCTCTTATATTTCAGGTTTGTTTACTGGGTTTCCCAGTTCAGAGTATTTCTTAGTTCTGTCCCTGCCACCCTTGCTTTTGTTTGTTTTCACCTATTGTAAATAAAGCTCACTAGCATCACTGCCTATGCCTGCATTCTGGGTCCTTCTCTCATAAACTCCACACGTCTGCCGTAGCAGCTGTGACATGTTTTATTGTTAAGGTCTCATGTTTCCATGTTCAGTGTGTCTACCTGTGGCGTCACGTTAATTCGTGTCAGTTGTGTTCGCCGTGTGTTCTCACTACCCAGACATTATCCTTCTGTGTATTTATGTCAGCGTCTCCCTCAGTCCTGTGTCGTGATCGCCCTCATACCTCACTGTGTGTTCTGTCTGCCAGCCTGTCAAAGAAGTACAGCCCAACCAGTCAACCATAAAATGGCTGATTCCACTTCAACCTACCTTGCACTTCTCTTTCTGGAGGCTCCTGGGAGCATGAAATCAGGTCTGTCAAGGCTGTCCTGACTGCACCCCTGGGTTCGCAAGTTGTCAGCAAAGAAGTGCGGACAACTCGCAAACCCAGGGCTGTTGCTGATGATTTGGCCAGACCATTTGTTACCACAGGCAGTATATCGCTGCTTGGACTGCCAAGTACTATCAGACCACTTCTGGACATGGTTCCTGCACCACTACCTGCCCGCCATACTCCCTCTTAGTGGCAGTCAGATACAGCCCTGCTTCAACTGGGTAGTGTTTTGATAATCGCTGATCCCAAACTTCCCAGAGCTTCACATGGCCTGTAGGGAACATTAGAAAGGTGATCCCTGGCAGCCTTATTTGCACTGCAGAGGTTAAAGTGATGGACCATACCTATGGATGACCTGTGAGGTAACCTCATTCGGCTGACTGCTGTTCCGAATGAAGATTTATACAATGGATTTAGTACTGCAAACTTGCTGGAGCAAGTCTGGGGTGGCTGTTCTGAAGATGTCATTTACCAGCCTGTCCACAAGGGGCAGCTGTGTACTCTATTTAGTGCAGATGGACCAGTGATAACCGGTTCAGCCATGCAGTCTCTTGGTTGGGGGCTTCATCAGATCCACAGTTGATTGCTGTTTGTGTTCCTGTGTGTGCATCCAGAGAAATGTAACTGTTCAGTAAGGCATGCAGGCTGTGAACAACTTTTCAGTTTCTGATAAACTTTAATGTGCCTTATATTATTGTGTGTATGCATGTGAACCACAGCTCTGTGCTGCCTTAAAGAGCAGGAAACCCATCAACTGTGTCATGATTCTTTGTCTGCTTTGAGCCTGGGGGAAACATAGGGAGTGCATTCGAACCGATGCGCACTCTGTGATTATCACCAAGTGTAGCTGGCATGGTAGTTTAGAGCCTTCACCACAATAGCAACACAGCATAATGAACAGGATCCATACTGTCTTGATATCATTCTTTGCAGCAGAGACTTCAGGCTTCAATGATGGCTGCAGATAGAGAACCAGGGAAACTCAGCTGCAGCTTTTCAGACTGATTAGTAGTCTGAGGAGCAGCCCAGAACCCTGCTCTGTCTCTTCTGCAAGTACTGCAAAGGTTCTGTTGAGGTTTCCTTGTGTGTAACGGCACACACAAAATACCTAAAACAGGGAGGACTAGAATGTATGCTAGGGTGTTACTGATTGACAGTGCATATTGTTACTGAAATCTGTTGAAGCCTAAGCTACAACCAAAATTAGGCTTTACAGAGGTATACTGAAAGGCTACAACTACTAACTTGCAGATTTAATAAATCTGCATAAGTGCAGACACCCCAGATTTCAACATTGTATAACCTTAAAGCCCAGAGACATGCCCACAGAACAAGTAACTAAATAAAGAATTATTTTAATTGAAGTCAAAAAAGTGATGAAAGTGGAAGTAAAACTTGGGTTACCTTGTAGACATCATAGGAGTCAATGCGCGTATCAAAACACATGTAGAGGTTGTTGAGCATCTTCACTACTTGCAATGGAGTACAGGACGCAGAGATAGAGGTGAAGCCCACAATGTCTGAGAAAAAAATGGTCACCTGGAACCAAAGGTAGAAAAGTAGTTCCATTACTATATAGAATTACTGTTTGTAGTGGAAATATAGTAGAAAACATCTAAAAGAGAAATAAAATCTTCAGATGGAGAAAACAAAGTTGAACTTGTACCATAATTATGGGAAGATAAAACTACAGAGAAAAAAAGGAACATCTTGTGATCCAGAGCGTATGGCGTTATGTGTCAGACATGGTGACCGCAGTGTTGTGCCATGGGGATGTATGGCTGCTAAAGGAATGTGCCACTACTGTTAACTGTTGATGCGACTGCTGAGAAGCAGCAGGATGAATTGTGTAGTATACAGGACTACACTTTCTGCTCAGATTCACCAGATGCTAATAAACTGAACTGAGTGACTATGAATAACAACCAAAAGCAATTTTAAAGTTTCTCAAGGCAAAGAAACTGTTGATTGCTTTGTTGTCAACTCATGAGAGCATGCTTTTCAGTTATTAAAGATGAAACCAAAAAGAGGGAGACACACAAACAGGCAGCAGGAGCAGGAGAGTGGCTGTTGTAAAGGCCTGGCTAAGCATCTCAAGACATGAAAGGCAGTAACGGAGGATGTACATAGGTTAAAGACTTTAGGCAGTCACTACCCGAAAAAAAAAATGTTTACTTGGATATTAGAAAACATCCTTGTATTAAATTTTTTAAATTGCTTACAGATGTATTCAGATGAAAGATGTCCAAAACCTATGGGCCTACACTATATATATATATATATATATA